TTCTGAATGTTGCAGCTCCAACTGCCGGCCTTTTCATCCATACATGACACAGTGGGGACATAGGGGCTGGTGGGAGGAACTGCAGCCCACAGCGTGGTGGGGGGTGTTCCGGGCTCACTTAGGACACCCTCGGAGGTTCTTGATATCCGTGGCGGCTGTAGATTAGTCACCACCTGCTGGGCTGGTATTGGGGGGTGTGGATGAGCTGTGAAGGCATCGTGCTTTTGACGTCATCGGTTTGAGATGCAGAGATCGTACGTTCAAAACTCCTCGTGGGTGCGGCTAACCTGCTTCACGTCGCCTTTGCAATCCCATAGACTTGAATGGGGGGAGAAGTCATTGTAGAGATGTCACCGGGTCCAAGCCTGTATAAAAAAAATCCCTCATCTCTAGAAGTCAGGGAATGGAGCTAAAGGAGCCCATAGAGCCTATAGCATCCATAGAGCCCATAGCATCCATAGCCCATAGCATCCATAGAGCCCATAGCATCCATAGAGCCCATAGCATCCATAGAGCCCATAGCATCCATAGAGCCCAGCCATGCTCTATGGATGCAATTGGAAAGCAGGAAATCGCGAACTGATGACATCATCATATCCAACTTTATTAAACCCAGACAGCACACTGAGCCCCACCTATGACTGTTGCTCTCTAACACATTATTATTTCAGGTACTTGTATAGCGCCGTCAATGTACCCAGTGCTTTACATCTATATTGTACATTCACATCAGTCCCCGCCCCCGAGGAATGTACAATCTAAGGTCCCTAACTTACATTCATACACACACATACTACGGCCAATTTAGACAGGAGCCAATTCACCTACCAGCATGTCTTTGGAGCGTGGGAGGAAACCGGAGTACCCTAAGGAAACCCACGCAGGCACAGGGAGAACATGCAAACTCCAGGCAGGTGGTGCCATGATTGGGATTTGAACCAATGACCCGAGTACTGCCAGGCAGAAGTGCTAACCATTTAGCCACTGTGCTGCCCTCATCAGCTAATATGGACTTGATCACAGAGACCTCTCGATCTTAATAATCGAGCCCCTATTGGGTGATATGTTCGGCCCCGTTCCCGTCTCGGGCAGTGATTTACATGCGTTTCCAAATGTGATATGCATAGGGCAACCCACTTCAGTGAGCTGCCCTGTAAATGTTTGTCACTCAGAGATAACCTCCTGCTCCTTTTTGGGTGATTAGCCTTGCAGGATTTTAAAAGGTGCGTTTTGCAGCGAATTCCGTGCAATTCTGTTGCACAACACTTGATGCGAACGTGCACCGCATTAAGAATGAATGGCAGCCAAACGCGCGCAATGCGCTTTACCAAGATTTGGAATCACGAGAGGGCAGTCATAGGTGGGGCTGCAGCGTTGTGCGTCCGGCCTCGTGCACACAGGACGTTTTATAAACACTGAAACATCATCACTGTGCTGTACATAGCCTGTGCACAGAGCTGAGCTGTGGGAGGGGCCCAGCAGGCTCCACCCACTACAGACTGCCAGAAACTGCAGGAGGGGGCGGAGACTAGACCAGTCCCCCTGCACAAGGGGAGAGAGCTGTGGGAGGGACTCAGCAGGCTCCACCCACTACAGACTGCCTGCAGGAGGGGGCGGAGACTAGACCAGTCCCCCTGCACAAGGAGAGAGAGCAGAGCTGTGGGAGGGACTCAGGCTCCACCTACTAGAGACTGCCTGCAGGAGGGGGTGGAGACTAGACCAGTCCCCCTGCACAAGGAGAGAGAGCAGAGCTGTGGGAGGGACTCAGGCTCCACCTACTAGAGACTGCCTGCAGGAGGGGGTGGAGACTAGACCAGTCCCCCTGCACAAGGAGAGAGAGCAGAGCTGTGGGAGGGGCTCAGCAGGCTCCACCCACTCCAGAAAACTACAGGTGGGGGGCAAAGACCAGTCCAGTGCCCCCTGCACAAGGAGAGAGGGCAGACCTCTGGGAGGGACTCAGCAGGCTCCACCCACTCCAGAAAACTACAGGTGGGGGTGGAGACCAGACCAGTTTCCCTGCACATGGAAAAAGAGCAGAGCTGTGGGAGGGACTCGGGATCCACCCCCACTTCAGAAAACTACAGGAGGGGGCGGAGACCAGACCAGTCTCCCTGCACAAGGAAAGAGAGCAGAGCTGTGGGAGGGACTCAGCAGGCTCCACCCACTCCAGAAAACTACAGGAGGGGGCGGAGATCAGACCAGTCCCCCTGCACAAGGAGTGAGAGCAGAGCTGTGAGTGGGACTCAGGCTCCACCCACTTCAGAAAACTACAGGTGGGGTGCAAAGACTAGTCCAGTGCCCCCTGCACAAGGAGAGAGGGCAGAGCTGTGGGAGGGACTCAGCAGGCTCCACCCACTCCAGAAAACTACAGGTGGGGGTGGAGACCAGACCAGTTTCCCTGCACATGGAAAAAGAGCAGAGCTGTGGGAGGGACTCGGGATCCACCCACTTCAGAAAACTACAGGAGGGGGCGGAGACCAGACCGGTCTCCCTGCACAAGGAAAGAGAGCAGAGCTGTGGGAGGGACTCAGCAGGCTCCACCCACTCCAGAAAACTACAGGAGGGGGCGGAGATCAGACCAGTCCCCCTGCACAAGGAGTGAGCAGTCTTTATTCCAGGAAGTCTCACACTGGATTACTGCACAGATCTGGGAGAAATACACAAATCTCACCGAGATTCATGATGAAGAGACGTGGCCAATGGAGTCAGATATTTACTTATCCCGGAGTTCAGCTTTAACTTTTAAAGTGTCTGCTGGCCCTTAACCGTTTCAATACCGGGCAATTTTACCCCCTCCCTGCCCAGGCCAGTTTTCAGGTTTCAGCGCTCTCACACTTTGTATGACAATTGCGCGGTCATACAACATTGTACCCATTGTACTAAAATTGTATCATTTTCTTCACACAACTAGAGCTTTCTTTTTGTGGTATTTAATCACCGCCGGGGGGTTTTTATTTTTTGCTAAATTAAAAAAAGACCAAAAATTTTGAAAAAAAAAAACACATTTTTCTTTGTTTCTGTTATAAAAGTTTGTAAATAAATAATTGTTCTTCATAAATTTAGGCCGAGATGTATTCTGCTCCATGTCTTTGGTGAAAATAACCCAAATTAGGATGTATTATTTATCTGTAGGAAAGTTATAGAGTTCACAAACTATGGTATAGATCTGATTATTGATCAATCCTGAAGTACTGACAGCCAATCTAATTTCTTGAGGTCCAAGAATGTCAGAACAGTACAGATATCCCCCAAATGTCAGGACAGTACAGATATCCCCCAAATGTCAGGACAGTACAGATATCCCCCAAATGTCAGGACGGTACAGATATCCCCCAAATGTCAGGACAGGACAGATATCCCCCAAATGTCAGGACAGTACAGATATCCCCCCAAATGTCAGAACAGTACAGATATCCCCCAAATGTCAGAATGGTACAGATATCCCCCAAATGTCAGGACAGTACAGATATCCCCCAAATGTCAGAACAGTACAGATATCCCCCAAATGTCAGAATGGTACAGATATCCCCCAAATGTCAGAACAGTACAGATATCCCCCAAATGTCAGAATGGTACAGATATCCCCCAAATGTCAGGACGGTACAGATATCCCCCAAATGTCAGGACGGTACAGATATCCCCCAAATGTCAGGACGGTACAGATATCCCCCAAATGTCAGGATGGTACAGATATCCCCCAAATGTCAGGACAGGACAGATATCCCCCAAATGACCCCTTTTTGCAGAGTAGACAGTCCGACGTACTTCATAAGAGGAATGGCGAGTTTTTTAAAGTTGTATTTTTTTGTCATAATTTTTCGGAAAATGAAAAAATTAAAAAAAATTATTTTCACTATTTTTTTTTTTTTTTTTTTTACATACTGTCACCGGTGCAGTACAACATCATCATATAACTGGCATAGCGGTGATCAGGGACACTGACTGGTGACAGTATGGAAAAAAAAAAAATATATTTTTTTAAATTTTTTTAAATTTTTTTTTTATATTTAATTTTTTATTACATTTTTTTTAATTTTTTTAAAGATTTTTTTTTCATATTTTACTATGACCAAAGTAGTACAGTGTTACCATAGTAACATTGTACTACTTTGGGGAAGTGATCAGTATTTTTTTTTTTTTACACAATTTGCTTATAGCAAAGAATTACTTTGCTATAAGCAAGCATTTACCTGAATGAAATCGATTCATTCAGGGTTTTTTTTTTTTTTTGTGCTTAGCTGTGATTTGGTCACAGCTAATCACATGACATGTGCATGTGATCACTGTGACCATTCACAGCTAGACACTAGTATACAATGGATGGCATCATGAATGAAGCCATCCATTGTATACAACTGTCATGTGACCTGCTGTGATTGGTCACAGCAGGTCACATGGTACCGGCAACGGGGGCCGGTACTCGGATCTGTCATCGGCCGTGTCCGAGGTGCACGGCCGGTGACAGATCGCACTGCTGCGCCGCTCTGCATTAGCGCAAACGGCGCATGTGTGGGGTGCACGCCAAATGGCGTGCACCCGGAATGCAGGGACACATCTGAAGCTGCCAAACGGCCATTGGCCGGGCGGCTAATGGTTAAGCAGGCCATACATGGGTTGAATTCCAAACGATTTTTCGATCGAAAACATCGTACGTTCTGTAATCTGACGGTGCCACCAATGATTTCGAAAATCGGTCGTTTTTCGTGAATTTTCCAGCATGCCTGATACAGGAAATCGGGAAGAACCACGAAAATCGTCCGGTGCCATTGCCCCACTAACAGAGTGAAAATCGGTTGATTATTCTTGGACCTGATTTTCTAACAAAAAATCGTTTGGAAATTGTCCCATGTATGGCCGGCCTTAGATTGGCTTGATTGGACACTGAATTCTGTGTACACTGGGGGTATGATGTGTAATACCTATTAATCCTTTATTGTGTTTTATACTTTTATTTTTAGGCATTAATCCTTTTTATTGGTGTTTTGTTTCCCCCCCCATAGACCGAGGGAACGATAACTGGCTGATAAAGTACGACTATCCAATGGAGAATGCAGCCAGTCGGGTATAAGAGCTGTTACTTGTGTGTGGGGGGGGTGGCAGAGTCCTGCGTACGGCGATTCCAATTGCTGTGTTTGTATTTCTGTAGGACTCGGACTGGGTGTTGGTTCGGGAACCCATCATCAAGATCGCCGCCATAGACAATGGCCTCGCTTTCCCTTTAAAGCATCCGGATTCCTGGAGAGCGTGTGAGTTTCTATGCCCCGCCTTCTAATAAACTGACGGAGGGGGTGCACTGGAGGAAGAACAACACCATCCCGGCAGTTCAGATTTGTAGCAGATTTCTTGGATATATATCACATATTTAATACAAATATTGTACACAGGCAGGATGTTTAATACAGAAGAGACATGCTAGGTCTCTCCATGCTAGGTCTCTCCATGCTAGGTCTCCATGCAGGTCTCTCCATGCTAGGTCTCTCTCCATGCTAGGTCTCTCCATGCTAGGTCTCCCATGCTAGGTCTCCCATGCTAGGTCTCCCCATGCTAGGTCTCTCCCCATGCTAGGTCTCTCTCCCGTGCTAGGTCTCTCTCCCGTGCTAGGTCTCTCTCCCGTGCTCGGTCTCTCTCCCGTGCTCGGTCTCTCTCCCGTGCCGTGCTCGGCTCGGTCTCTCCCCCGTGCTCGGTCTCTCTCCTCCCGTGCTCGGTCTCTCTCCCCCGTGCTCGGTCTCTCCCCGTGCTCGGTCTCCCCCGTGCTCGGTCTCTCCCCCGTGCTCGGTCTCTCCCCCGTGCTCGGTCTCTCCCCCGTGCTCGGTCTCTCCCCCGTGCTCGGTCTCTCCCCCGTGCTCGGTCTCTCTCCCGTGCTCGGTCTCTCCCCGTGCTCGGTCTCCTCTCGGTCTCTCCCGTGCTCGGTCTCTCCCCGTGCTAGGTCTCTCTCCCGTGCTCGGTCTCTCTCCCGTGCTCGGTCTCTCTCTCCCGTGCTCGGTCTCTCTCCCGTGCTCGGGTCTCTCTCCCGTGCTCGGTCTCTCTCCCGTGCTCGGTCTCTCTCCCGTGCTCGGTCTCTCTCCCGTGCTCGGTCTCTCTCCCGTGCTCGGTCTCTCTCCCGTGCTCGGTCTCTCTCCCGTGCTCGGTCTCTCCCTCGTCTCTCCCCGTGCTCGGTCTCTCTCTCTCCCCGTGCTCGGTCTCTCTCCCGTGCTCGGTCTCTCTCCCGTGCTCGGTCTCTCTCCCCGTGCTCGGTCTCTCCCCCGTGCTCGGTCTCTCCCCCGTGCTCGGTCTCTCTCCCCGTGCTCGGTCTCTCTCTCTCCCGTGCTCGTCTCTCTCCCCCCGTGCTCGGTCTCTCCCCGTGCTCGGTCTCTCTCCCCGTGCTCGGTCTCTCTCCCGTGCTCGGTCTCTCTCCCGTGCTCGGTCTCTCCCCCGTGCTCGGTCTCTCTCCCGTGCTCGGTCTCCCGTGCTCCCCGTGCTCGGTCTCTCCCCCGTGCTCGGTCTCTCCCCCGTGCTCGGTCTCTCCCCGTGCTCGGTCTCTCCCCCGTGCTCGGTCTCTCTCCCGTGCTCGGTCTCGGCTCTCTGCTCGGTCTCTCCCCCGTGCTCGGTCTCTCCCCGTGCTCGGCTCTCTCTCTCCCGTGCTCGGTCTCCCCGTGCTCGGTCTCTCTCCCCCGTCTCGGTCCCCGTGCTAGGTCTCTCTCCCGTGCTAGCTCGGTCTCTCTCTCTCCCGTGCTCGGTCTCCCGTCTCTCCCGTGCTCTCCCCCGTGCTCGGTCTCTCCCGTGCCTCTTCTGCATTAAAGTTTCTTACCTGCCTGTCCTCACTGTACGCTGAGCTGTGCATGCGCAACTCAGTGTTAGAATTTCAGCAGTGCTGGGATGCCGGAACTTGCGCACATGCGCAGGAGTTACGTCATTTCGGCTCAGCCTATGGAAACTGCCAGGGGATGATATCAGGAAGCTGCCAGGCTGAAGTGGTCAGTGGCTGGCGTGGAGCTTTGCAGCCCTGGAGAACAGGTAAGTATAGTTCACCAAAAATTAAAAGTCGGCTTGTGATCACCCACCTTATATTGAGCAGGTCCCACTTTTACCACCGAAACAGCCCTGATCTGTCCAGGCATGGACTCCACTGGACCCCTGAAGGCATGCTGTGGTAGCCGGAACCAAACTGTCAGTAGCAGATCCCTTAAGTCCTTTAAATTGGGAGGTGGGGCCTCCATGAATCGGACTCGTTTTTCCAGTACATCGCACAGATGCTCGAATTGGATTGAAATCTGGAGGCCACATCAACACCGCAAATATGTTGTGTTCTCAAACCATCCTTGAATTCCTCAGACCGATCCCCTCCTTCCATGGGTCTCTGGTCCAGTTCTGATCTCATGTGCCCATTGTAGGCACTTTTGGCTGTGGACATGGGTCAGTATGGACACCCTGACTGGTCTGCAGCTACACAGCCCCCATACACAACAAACTCCATCCCCCCCCTCCCCACCTCCATCAATGAGCCTTCCGATGCCCCCCCCCCACCTCTATCGATGAGCCATCCATCCCCCCCACCACCCCCCAACCACCACCACCTTAATCAACGAGCCTCCCCTCCCCACCTCCATCAACGAGCCTCCCCTCCCCACCTCCATCAACGAGCCTCCCCTCCCCCCCCACCTCCATCAACGAGCCTCCCCTCACACCTCCCCCCCATCCAATGAGCCATCCCTCCCCACCTCCATCAACGAGCCATCCCCTCCCCACCTCCATCAACGAGCCATCCCTCCCCACCTCCATCAACGAGCCATCCCTCCCCACCTCCATCAACGAGCCATCCCTCCCCACCTCCCATCCCTCCCCCCACCTCCATCAACGAGCCATCCCCTCCCCACCTCCATCAACGAGCCTCCCCCTCCCCACCTCCATCAACGAGCCATCCCTCCCCACCTCCATCAACGAGCCCATCCCCACCTCACCCCACCTCCATCAACGAGCCATCCCTCCCCACCTCCATCAACGAGCCTCCCCCCACCTCCCACCAGCCTCCCTCCATCAACGAGCATCCCTCCCCTCCCCATCACCTCCATCAACGAGCCTCCCCTCCCCACCTCCATCAACGCCTCCCCTCCCTCCCCACCTCCATCTCCATCAACGAGCCTCCCCTCCCCACCTCCATCAACGAGCCTCCCCTCCCCACCTCCATCAACGAGCCTCCCCTCCCCCCCTCCCAACACCTCCCCATCCATCAACGCCTCCCCTCCCCACCTCCATCAACGAGCCTCCCCTCCCCACCTCCATCAACGAGCCTCCCTCCCCACCTCCATCCGAGCCTCCCTCCCCACCTCCATCAACGAGCCTCCCCTCCCCACCTCCATCAACGAGCCATCCCCACCTCCATCAACCATCCCTCCCCACCTCCATCAACGAGCCATCCCTCCCCACCTCCATCAACGAGCCATCCCTCCCCACCTCCATCAACGAGCCTCCCTCCCCACCTCCATCAACGATCCCTCCCCACCTCCATCAACGAGCCATCCCTCCCCACCTCCATCAACGAGAGCCTCCCCCCCCACCTCCATCCGAGCCATCCCTCCCCACCTCCATCAACGAGCCATCCCTCCCCACCTCCATCAACGAGCCATCCCTCCCCACCTCCATCAACGAGCCATCCCCTCCCAGCCTCCCCTCCATCAACGAGCCATCCCTCCGCCCCCCCACCTCCATCAACGAGCCATCCCTCCCCACCTCCATCAACGAGCCATCCCTCCCCACCTCCATCAACGAGCCATCCCTCCCCACCTCCATCAACGAGCCATCCCTCCCCACCTCCATCAACGAGCCATCCCTCCCCACCTCCATCAACGAGCCATCCCCCTCCCCACCTCCATCAACGAGCCATCCCTCCCCACCTCCATCAACGAGCCATCCCTCCCCACCTCCATCAACGAGCCATCCCTCCCCACCTCCATCAACGAGCCTCCCTCCCCACCTCCATCCGAGCCTCCCTCCCCACCTCCATCAACGAGCCTCCCCTCCCCACCTCCATCAACGAGCCTCCCTCCCCACCTCCATCAACGAGCCTCCCCTCCCCCCACCTCCATCAACGAGCCTCCCCACCTCCATCAACGAGCCTCCCCCTCCCCACCTCCATCAACGAGCCTCCCCACCTCCATCAACGAGCCATCCCTCCCCACCTCCATCAACGAGCCTCCCCATCCCTCCCCACCTCCATCAACGAGCCATCCCTCCCACCTCCATCAACGAGCCATCCCTCCCCACCTCCTCAACCCCACCTCCATCAACGAGCCTCCCCTCCCCACCTCCATCAACGAGCCTCCCCTCCCCACCTCCATCAACGAGCCTCCCCTCCCCACCTCCATCAACGAGCCTCCCTCCCCACCTCCATCAACGAGCCTCCCTCCCCACCTCCATCAACGAGCCATCAACGAGCCTCCCTCCCCACCTCCATCAACGAGCCTCCCCTCCCCACCTCCATCAACGAGCCATCCCTCCCCACCTCCATCAACGAGCCATCCCTCCCCACCTCCATCAACGAGCCTCCCCTCCCCCACCTCCATCATCCCTCCCCACCTCCATCAATGACCTCTCCCCACTTACACTTGTCCATGGTTTCTGCTTTCAGCACATCAGGGACAACATGTTCACTGTCTGCCTGATATATCCCGCCCACTTCCAGCTGTCATTGTAATGATATGGTGAATGCTATTCACTTGACCTGCCAGCAGTCACAATGTTCTGGCTGATCGGTGTACAGGCCTTTTCTTAGCCTATTGGCTTCGTGTTGGTTAAAGCTCCTATTTTACATTTTTTTTGTCTGTTTTTTTCTTCTAGATCCCTTTTACTGGGCCTGGTTATCACAAGCCAAAGTCCCGTTCTCCCAGGAGATCAAAGAACTCATCCTGCCCAAAATTTCAGACCCCAATTTTGTCAAAGACTTAGAGGAAGATCTTTATGAGCTGTTTAAGGTACGACTATCTATATATCTACTGCGTCTAAAGGTAAAGTCACACGACTATCTATATCTACTGCGTCTAAAGGTAAAGTCACACGGCTTTCTATATCTACTGCGTCTAAAGGTAAAGTCACACGGCTTTCTATATCTACTGCGTCGTCTAAAGGTAAAGTCACACGGACTATCTATATATGCTGCGTCTAAAGGTAAAGTCACATGGCTTTCTATATCTACTGCGTCTAAAGGTAAAGTCCACGACTATCTATATATACTGCGTCTAAAGGTAAAGTCACACGGCTTTCTATATCTACTGCGTCTAAAGGTAAAGTCACACAGCTTTCTATATCTACTGCGTCTAAAGGTAAAGCCACGCGGCTTTCTATATCTACTGCGTCTAAAGGTAAAGTCACGCGGCTTTCTATATCTACTGCGTCTAAAGATAAAGTCACACTATATTTTCGTCTATATATGCTGCGTCTAAAGGTAAAGTCACACGGCTTTCTATATCTACTGCGTCTAAAGGTAAAGTCACACGGCTATCTATATATGCTGCGTCTAAAGGTAAAGTCACACGGCTTTCTATATATGCTGTGTCTAAAGGTAAAGTCACACGGCTATCTATATATTCAGAAGGTCAGAAAGTTCCAGATGTGCGCTTACAAAACGGGTTTTCTTGCCCAGTAATCTCACCGAGATGCACTCCATTGCACACAACGCTCCCTTACCCCCTCTTTGGCAGCCCCCCACTGGTGCTCCCTTCTCCTTCTTCCTCCGGGTACCTTCTCATCCAGCCAGGTGCTATTGAGGCACCTGTGCACTTTGAGCCAGTCTGTGTGCGTCCATAGACACTCACAGCGCCGATAAGCCACACCCCCACTCAGGGGCGGAATGACAATTCATGGGGCCCCCGGGCAATAGGGGATCATGGGGCCCCCGTGTCCTCGCCCACACCCAAAAAAGCCTATAAAAAGATACCAGGGGTATCTCATGGGGCCCCCTACTGACCCTGGGCCCTCGGGCAGTGCCCGAGTGCTCAAATGCTCAGTCCGCCCCTGCCCCCATCTCTCCTCACAGGCGTGTGGCTGACAGCAGCGGGAGCCTAGGGCTCTATTGCCCTCAGTGTCTCCTGTGAGAAGAGCGGTGCTGCACCCGAGACAGCGCTGGAACAGTGACGGGATCAGGTAAGTGCTTAGGGATGGGGGTAGGTAGGACAGGTAGTGGGGCGTTTTTCTACCTTGATGCAGAGAACATTTTGACTTTAGAACCACTTAATAGCCCTCCATGTATGTGATGATGCCAAGGGACGGCTTGTAGCCTCGAGTGGAAGGTGCCACAACCAGCCAGAGCATGTGTAAGGTCAGGTGGTGCAGCTTTCTTCTAGAGGTAGGTAGGCGGGTGTAAACGGATACACCCGCCTGTCCACAGCAACGCATGGACCTTCTGAGCAGGTCAGCCGGGAAAAACTGCCAGGTGGACCTGATCACCCGTGCGGATGGGGTCTTGATCTAGTACACGGGTGTCAAACTGGCGGCCGTTTGGCTGTTGCGAAACTACAAGTCCCATGAGGCATTGCAAGATTGACAGTTACAAGCATGACTCCCAAAGGCAGAGGCATGATGGGACTTGTAGTTTCACAACAGCTGGAGGGCGGCCGGTTTGACACCCCCGATCTAGTATGTTGGCCAACTATCACCGCCATGTCGTCCTCTGGAAGGAGGAAGGTGATTGGTGGTTGGTGTGATCGGTGCAGGCTGAAGGAAGTCCTAACCCTATGATCTCGTCTGTCGTTTTCTGCAGAAAGATCCCGGCTTCGACAGAGGACAGTTCCACAAACAGATTGCAGTAATGAGAGGACAGGTGAGCGCACATATCTTCCCTCGTATTCCCCCCCTGATCACTGCATTGGTCATCCTCTTGTCTTCACCCGGTCATTGTCCAATCCCTGAGCAGCGCAAAGTGTCTGTAAATTGCCTTTTATTATTATTATACAGGATTTATAGCACCGACAGGTTACAATGTAACGGGAGACAATACAACAACAATACAGTTCAATACAAGAGGGATAGGAGGGCCCTGATCCTGGAGCTTACAATCTAGGAGGGATAGGAGGGCCTGATCCTGGGAGCTTACAATCTAGGAGGGATAGGAGGGCCTGATCCTGGGAGCTTACAATCTAGGAGGGATAGGAGGGCCTGATCCTGGGAGCTTACAATCTAGGAGGGAGGGGCTAGTGGTACAAAAGTAATAACTGTGGGGGATGGACTGGTAGGAGGAATAGAAGATTCCATTATTAGCTGAGGGCAGGATAGGCTTCCCTGAAGAGATCGGTTTTCAGAGATCGCCTAAATGTGCGCAGAGTAGGCGATAGTCTGATAGATTAGGGTAGAGAGTTCCAGAGGATGGGGGAGGCTCTGGAGAAGTCCTGGAGATGAGCATGGGAGGAGGAGACAAGGGAGATAGAGAGGAGGAGATCGTGGGAGGAGCAGAGAGTACGGTTTGGGTGATATTTGGAGACAAGATTGGTGATATAATTTGGGGCGGAGTTATAAATGGCTTCATATGTTATTGTCTAATGCAATGGGAAGGCAGTGGAGGGATGGAGGACACTGAGTGGAGGCCAGTGGAGGAATTGGCAAAGAGGGGTGGAGGCCAGGGGGAGGGATTGGCAGAGGGGGGTGGAGGACACTGAATGGAGGCCAGGGGAGGGATTGGCAGAGAGGAGTGGAGGACACTGAGTGGAGGGTGGAGGGATTGGCAGAGGGGGGAGGCCAGGGGAGGGACTGGAAGAGGGAGGCCAGTGGAGGACATTGAATGGAGGGGGGTGGATTGGACACTGAGAGGAGTGGAGGCCAGGTGGAGGGATTGGCAGAGAGGGGTGGAGGACACTGAGTGGAGGCCAGTGGAGGGATTGGCAGAGGGGGTGGAGGACACTGAGTGGAGGCCAGTGGAGGGATTGGCACTGCAGTGCACCAAGGTACACAACGCACATTAGCACGACAATGTCTGTTCTAGGAGAAATGCTCAGATCTACCCTATCAGGGATTGTCAGGATAAAGATGCAGGGACACCTGAACCCTCCCTATCCCCCCCCCCCCCCCCCCCCCCCGCCCGGGATGCAGGGGTGCCTTCCTCTTGGGTTGCAGAGACGCCCTCCCTCCCTCCCCCGGGATGCAGAGACGCCCGTCCCTCCCTCCCCCGGGATGCAGAGACGCCCGTCCCTCCCTCCCCCGGGATGCAGAGACGCCCGTCCCTCCCTCCCCCGGGATGCAGAGACGCCCGTCCCTCCCTCCCCCGGGATGCAGAGACGCCCGTCCCTCCCTCCCCCGGGATGCAGAGACGCCCGTCCCTCCCTCCCCCGGGATCCCCCTCCCTCCCCCGGGATGCAGAGACGCCCGTCCCTCCCTCCCCCGGGATGCAGAGACGCCCGTCCCTCCCTCCCCCGGGATGCAGAGACGCCCGTCCCTCCCTCCCCCGGGATGCAGAGACGCCCGTCCCTCCCCCGGGGTCTCTCTCACCCATTCAGGGATATACTCTGCTGTCCACAAATTCTGACACAGTGCCAGTAGTACATACAGGATGGGTGTGGTGTCACCATATTGCACATCTCATGGTAGCATGTGGTCAGTCATGTGGTCACAGTCAGCACAGATGATTGCCAGTAATATCTCATGTGATGGGATCACAGGGAAGATACACAGAAGGTACAATATCTGCCAGGAAATCATTTCCGTCTATTCTAGTATATTGCAGGTATTTATATTGGAGTCGATCATTTATTCAGCACTTCCCATCTTGTAGACTCGTGCCTGTCAGGTGTCTGCACTGTCACCCGATTGCTTCTACACTCCCCTGGTAACAGTGCCACCACCTGCGGGCCCGGGACCGACATGGCGGGTGACAGCAGGTGGAGGGTCAGGGGACAGGGTGGAGAGAGCGGATAAAAATCCACCCTCCTCCCCTTCTTACTGTGACCCGGAAAGCAACGTGTATGACATCACTTCCAGGTCACTTTGAAGTTTGTCGCCATTTCACAGGCGCACACAAATTTAAGGTTTGACATGTTGGGTATCTATTTACTCGGCGCAACCTCCTCTTTTATATTTTACCAAACATTTTGGTGATTTTATTGTGGTTGTTTGCCCTAAAATTCACTTTAGTGTGTTTTAATTGCAATTTTGCATTTCCTAGACTTTTGCAGTAATATGTGTGACATAACAAATTGGAGCTACCGCTATTTTATTCTCTAGGGTCTCCGCTTTCAGAAAATATATCGTGTTTGGGGGTCTTGTGTAATCTTCAGGCCTAAAATTATTTTTTTTGTGTGCAAAAACAGCTCTGGCAGCGGAAAGGTTAATAGGTTAGGTTGAGAGACTGAGTTTCCATCGAGCAGTTTCACTCTTGCTTCTGCTTTCGGGGATTTTCGTTTCCTATTTGCTCTGGAAATCATACACTATATTGCCAAAAGTATTGGGCCGCCGGCCTTTCCACGCACATGACCTTTAATGGCCCCCCAGTCTTAGTCCGTAGGGTTCAATATTGAGTTGGCCCCGCCCCTTCCACGCACATGACCTTTAATGGCCCCCCAGTCTTAGTCCGTAGGGTTCAATATTGTGTTGGCCCCGCCCTTTCCACGCACATGACCCGCCCTTTCCACGCACATGACCTTTAATGGCCCCCCAGTCTTAGTCCGTAGGGTTCAATATTGAGTTGGCCCCGGCCTTTCCACGCACATGACCTTTAATGGCCCCCCAGTCTTAGTCCGTAGGGTTCAATATTGAGTTGGCCCCGCCCTTTCCACGCACATGACCTTTAATGGCCCCCCAGTCTTAGTCCGTAGGGTTCAATATTGTGTTGGCCCTTTCCACGCACCCTTTAATCCCCACACTTAGTCCGTAGGGTTCAATACCTTTCCACGCACATAATGGCCCCCCAGTCTTAGTCCGTAGGGTTCAATATTGAGTTGGCCCCGCCCTTTGCAGCTATAACAGCTTCAACTCTTCTGGGAAGGCCGTCCACAAGGTTTAGGAGGGTGTCTATGGGAAGGTTGGACCATTCTTCCAGAAGCACATTTGTCAGGTCAGGCACTGATGTCGGGGGAGGAGGCCTGGCTCGCAGTCTCCGCTCTAATTCATCCCAAAGGTGTTCTATGGGGTTGAGGTCAGGACTCTGTGCAGGACAGTCAAGTTCCTCCACCCCAAACTGGTTCCTCCATGTCTTTATGGACCTTGCTTTGTGCACTGGTGGGCAGTCATGTTGGAACAGGAAGGGGCCATCCCCAAACTCTTCCCACAAAGTTGGGAGCATGAAATTGTCCAAAATGTGGCCTTAAGAATTCCCTTCACTGGAACTAGGGGGCCAAGCCCACCCCCTGAAAAACAACCCCACACCATAATCCCCCCTCCACCAAACTTTACACTTGGCACAATGCAATCAGGCAAGTACCGTTCTCCTGGCAACCGCCAAACCCAGACATGTCCATTGGATTGCCAGACAGAGAAGCGTGATTGGTCACTCCAGAGAACACGTCTCCACTGCTCTAGAGTTCAGTGGCAGCGTGCTTTACACCACGGCATCCGACGCTTTGCATTGCACTTGGTGATGGAAGGCTTGGATGCAGCTGCTCGGCCATGGAAACCCATTCCATGAAGCTCTCTACGCACTGTTGTTGGGCTCATCTGAAGGCCACACCAAGTTTGGAGGTCTTTAGCTATTGACTCTGCAGACAGTTGGCGACTTCTGCGCACTGTGCGCTTCAGCATGCGCTGACCCCGCCCTGTCATGTGACGTGGCCTACCACTTGGTGGC